AACAGAATTGAAATATCATGTATGTTAAATCATCACCTATTTTATAAAGGGAAGCTGCCAAGTTCATAATGACAACTATAAGTTTTCTGAAGTTCTTTCTCTTTTTCTTTGAGATAGGATTTTGCTCTGTTGCTCATGATTGTCTCTAACTTACAGGGTCAAGCAGTCGTAGACAGCCACTGTACCCGGCCTAAAAATTCTTAAAAGCTTAAATTATGCCATTGGTAATGAGGACTGACAGTTGTTTTCACTGAAGGAAGAGCCTTTTAGATCATTTTCATGAAAATGTCTGCCAGATCCCCAAAATGAATGAGCAGTGTCTCAGTTTTTTCTTCAAGCAATGATGGGGTTGCACAGAGCAGAAGCTAGTTCAGCTGGCAACTCAACAACTTTTGTACAAGTTTGTAGGCTCTGGGTGCAGCTGTGGGACAATTCCTACAGACAAAGAACACTAGAGACAGATACTGAAAGGTTGAGAAACCAGTAACCTTTACTGACCCATAAAGGACCTTGTTCCTTTTACACATCATGACTGTTAGCAGTGCAAATACAGTAATTGCTGGTATAGTCTACGGCTATAGCTGAGCCATACCTATCTCTGGTTTTATGACATCACTGTGGATGTCAATACAGTGAATAAGGTTTTATCAAACACAATTTGACCATTAAAGCTATCCAGAAAGAACTAGGTCCAAGAGCACACTCAGAACCACTCAGTGTTACAGACACTTCATTATATGCACCTTTATTCCCAGTTCAGACACAACCAAGTCTGTTACTTACCTCCTATAACAACATCCTTCCTCTTCAGGCCATGCAGCCCCTAATAAAATTGGGTCTTTGCTACCTCCTAGTACAAAGGTGTGGGAACGGCTAACTTGAGACAGATCTTTTTCTAAATGTGTGAGTGTATCTTTAGTAGAGGTAGTTACCAGGAGAAAGACTTGCCAGACTGTCTCAGAGGGTTTTTTTTTGGGGGTGGGGGTGGGGAGGGTGGAGTAGTGAAGAAAAGAGCCTGTCCCAGTTGGTCTTCTATCATGGAGTTTAGGGCCCTAATCAATAAGATGTTGTACAAGATCTAGTTTAATGCTTCCAGTAACTTAATGTGCCACAAAATCTCTGTAGAAAAAAAAAACCAAGGAGCTGGGAAGGTGGCTCAGTGGTAGAGCACTTGCCTTGCATGCATGAGGACCTGGGTTCAATTCCTCAGCACCACATAAGAAAAAAGCCGGAAGTGGCTCTGTGGCTCAAGTGGTAGAGCGCTAGCCTTGAGCTGAAGAGCTGAGGGACAGCGCCCAGGCCCAGAGTTCAGGCCCCACCACCGGACCCAAAAATAAAAAACAACAACAACAAAAATTGCTCATCCTGGGTGTTTAAATTTCAGTGTTCTTTAGAAAGTGAAGGGGAAAAAAAGCTACTATACCCAAGTATTCAAACATGGTCTGTCTCAGAAGAGCATGTCTCAGGCATCTCTGATTTGTATGGATACACTCTGTCCCACTAGATTGAGACTGGGATACTTAAGAAGGCAACAGAGACAACCTTCCACAGACAGATGGGACTTTAGCTTTGGGCTCCTGAATACTATCTATACCCCCACAGACTGTCTCTGCAGAGAGGTGAAGCCAGGACACTCACCTCTTCAGCCACGGAGTCCCTGTAGTATCTCAGGCTCTGATCAGCCAGGACAAACCAGTGCTTCTTCCACTAAAAGGGAAGAAAGAGAAACTCAGCTACCATGCAGCATGCTTGCTGCTTCAGGGTGATCTGCAGTCGAGTCCTGGGGTCCTCCAAGAGTATAGGTAAAACAGAGGGCAGTCCAGACTGCACAGGGCAGACAGACACCAGGCAGTCATGCACTAACAGCCTTAGGAAGGCTTGCTAAGCTGCGGCTCTTCTGTGAAGAGGCAGTAGAGAGTGGGTGGGCCTTGACTGGGGCTCTGTGACCCATGGTGGTGGCATGGCTGGTGAGCAGTGCTCCTCTGTGAAGAGGCAGCAGAGAGTGAGTGGGTGGGCCTCAGCTGGGGCTCTGTGACTCATGGTGGCGTATTTGGTGACCAGTGCTTTGCAGGCCTCCATTCAAATTCCAGATGTTGCAGACCACAGCTGGCCCATCACATAGAAAGGTGGCCGTGAAAAAGAGCAGAGAACGACAGCCACTTGGCGGGCTCACCAAAGAGGCACATCCCACTACACCAGCAGGAACGAACTAACCCGCTAAATTCTCAGTCTTCACTGTGAGTAGCAAGGAGGGGAACTTGAATCTTCAGGCAAAGCCAAGGGAATTTGATACAGAAAAGGGAGGAGAGAAAGAGAGAGAGGATTTTTTTGTATGATACGTGGAAAGCAGGGCAGGAAGTTCCAAACTTCTAGGCCAAAGATCCAGAAAGCTCCTTTATGCCTTCTTTGGATGCTTAGTTTTCCAGCCTAGCTCAGGGTCAAGGTGAGGCTGACAGGCCTAACCACAAATGGCTTTAACTACTTGAATTTAATGGCTAGAATATACCACATTTACTATCCACAGAGCCTAATGGTGGCACTGCAGCTGAGCTGTTCTCTCAGACTCAAGCTCTAGATTTGTGTATGGAAACACAAGCTAGCTCCATAGCCAGAGGCCTCCCCTGTTCCTGGGAAAACCCAAGCCCCTGGAGAACTTTTAAGAAAGGCCACACAGTTGAGGGCTAGTGTGTAGAATGTTGTGGGATGTTTCCAAGGCCTGAGGCTGAGAGGTGTTGCCACCACTGTGGCAAAAGGAACCTTACACTTGCACTGTGAGCAAGTGGAAGGCCTTGCCATAGTCTTGGTCTATGAGACAAGCATGTGCAGCAGAAGGTAGGAAGACAGAACCAGGGCTCACAGACCCCACTAGAGATAAGCTCACATCTGTTACCCAGCATTCACAGCCCCAAGTTGCTCCCACTTACCTGCCCATCCTCATACTGCTTGGTTAGCCAGCCTTTCTTGAAATTCAGCAGGTCGGGCTGAGGAAGAGAGAAAAGAATAGCTCATAGGAAAGCCTCATGGCATCCCAATTATAGATAAAGCATGTCTGATGGAGCTGACATGGCTGAGACATTTTTATCTAGATGAAGTGGCACCAGGAGCAGAAGTTTCTCTATTTGTCAGACAAGTTTGTGCACCTTCCCTTACTGTGTTCTGTGATGCTGCATATGTCTTTAAGGAAGGAAATGCCAGGCAAAGGGAGAATGGCATGGTCTTATTTGCCCTAGGCAATGGCAGCACAGGCTGCCCAACTGCCCCAAACATCTCTGCTCTGAGGTAGATGTCTATACTGGGTTCACTGTATAGCCTCTCTGGGGGCAGAGCACAGGCTCAGATGTAGAGTCCTTGAGGACTGTACATAAAGGGGCACATCTGCAGCAAATGACTAAAGACAATTCCAGAGCCTCTTGAAGGTATAGGAAAATACAAGTGAGGCAGAGATCATGTCAATATGAAGGAACAGCAGCAAAAGCACTGTTCAGACCCTCAGGCTACGCCTCAAGAGGAAGTGAAGTCTCCATTCCCCATAAAAAGTAGGATGGCAGATAGGAAGGTCTGGACCTGCCAACAGGACCTAAGTAGAATGTCATCTGTTTCCCACTCATCCTGCTCAGACATACCTGGGACCACTGCACAGCCTGGGAGCTCATGGCATTAGGGCACCCATATCCTACTCAGCTGAGATGTTCATCTACCACACAGTGTGCCTATGTGGTCAGGTTCCACAGACACCAACTAACGCTTCTGTAGCCCCAAGTATTCTCTGCTTTCCACAGCCATCTTGATCAGAAATGCCTTTGAATCCTTTTAGTATTCCAGAGACAAGGTGTGTTTTAGGAGAATAAGTGAGAAGTGAAAAGACACCAGGATAATGTTCTAAGAGCTCCTATTCTGTCACAAACAGTGGACTACTGTTTGGCCAAAGCTGACTACAATGATGAGAATTCCCTCTGTGAAATCCTACTTTAAGTCCCACTTTAAATCAAACAGTACTTCTGCCAGAGTTGTTTGAAGTACCAACAGTGAGAGATTAGGATGCCTCAGCTCAGAGACCTTTAAAGAAGAAAAGTCCCATTTAGGTGCAAACAGCTGTGGTTGCTGCCTAAGACTTGTGATGAAGGGCTGCTCTCTGCCTCTGTCCAACCTGATGAGCTACAGATCTGTAAGCAATAAAGACTCTTAAAACTTTCTGCTATGGTTGTGTCACTGCAGCCTTGGTGGACCCAGGGAACAGTGCAGGTGGGTCCCAGATAATCTTTTCTCTCTGGGTCTCTGATTGCTTCTGGAAACAATGGCTACTGACAGAGAAACAGCTCTGCCTTGGGGATGAGAGTTGGAGAGCAGATTCAGTCTCTTCAGGACACTGGAGACAAAGAGTGCCGAAGAATCAGGCTGGCATGCTGAGCCTAGACACCATTTTACTCACTCTAATTGAGCAGTTTCTACTGAGCTCCATAACAAGTGGGAGGACCTAGGAAAAGCCTACTTTCCTTCATGGCATAACTCTTGAACAAGACAAACTCCTAGGACATGGCTCCTGCTCTGAAATGCCAAAAAAACAACATCCAAAATAAGAAGAGCAGAGGGTCTGTGGCTTGACGCTTAAAAGTCAGATTTCTCTTCTGTGGCCAAGATGACTTGTGCTTAGGATGCCATGTAGCCCCCAATTCTGCTGAGCCTAGAGGGGAAGAACACAGGATCTGCTTCTGACAAGCTGTGGGTCAGCAAGTGGGGCACTCACAGACATGATGGCCTGCGCACAGAGAGATGGCCAGAATGGACAGATGGACACTGACAGACAGCAGCCCACAGTGGTCAGAAACATCAGTGGCCACAGTGGATCTTCAGAGAACTTGGCATGTGGCCTAGGCTCACCGTCATGGAGGACTCCGTGGACCTCCTGTCCAGTGACTTGGCTCTTCGGTGTGGAGACAGGGGGGAAGCCGAGGCATCTGAGAGAGTAGCAGTGGGGGCTTCGCTGGTGAAGTCCTGTAGCAGAGAGCAGCCGCCCATCAGTACAGCCTGAGGCAGCTCAGGCAGGCACAGGGGTGGCAGCTGAATGGTCAATCATCCCTTACTGAACAGGAAGGTGCCTTGCTCCCAGTGAGGGACAACACTCTAAATAGGCCCCACTACAGGTTGGGGACAACCTGGGTCCTGGGATATTCTGGGCAGTAGAGAAGATTTTTCTTTTGGATGCCACTCACCATCACTGTCCTGGTCCCACCCTATTTTCTAGCTTCTTGGGACCCAGAAGGGCCAGGGGGCATCTCATGAGCAAGAAAGAAACCAGGGAAGGACTGAGACAAAGCAGAATACAGAAGAGGCAGGTTGGCAGGCACATGCCTAGGAGGAGGACTGCGAGGTTGATGGATCTAATAGACTCAGTAGAGAAATGAGGGCATGGCTGTCACTTGAAAGACAGGAAAGAAGATCTGATGTTCAGTTGTGTTGGTGGACTGTCTCAGAGAGGAAAAGAAATGCTAGTTATGACCTGGGACTTGAAAATTAATTCAAACATCCTCTAGTAGGGAAAGATGAAATTGTAGACGAAAGAGGCAGAAGACAGCTTGCCTCAAGAAGCTCAGTAATGAGGGTAACAGGGCAGAGCAGAGGCCTGGAAGAAGCAATATTCCTTGCATGTGGGGCACTTCAAGTGCTTAGGGTAGTGTGATGCCCAGACCCCCAGCCACCTCTGGGAGGCCCATTTGGACCTGGGTGCCCTGATCCCAAGAGCTCACCCGCTTCCTAGGGAAGGTCCTCTTCTCACTGCGGCCCTGGCGAGTATCACTTGATGGGGAGGGCATGGCTGATGCATTGGTCTCCATGTGTTCTGCTTTCTCAATGTCTAAAGCCTCAAATTTCTCAATTACCTGGGACCTCCTGCAAGAGAAGACACAGGGCTGGCTAAGACCAGAGAATCCCATGTTCCCAAGATAGGCTTAATCTTGATTAAAATGGGCTCTTGCAGCTTCTCCCTATACCTGGCCTATCCCATTGGTTCCCTGTGCCAGTTTCCTCCAGCCTCCAACAGGTGCTGACCAGGCTTCAAGCACAGGCTTAGACAACCCAAGCTCCATTTGTAACCCCTTTCATGGCAGGCTGGAGCACTTCAAACCATGGCTCTTCCCTGACAGGCCTGTGCCCAGCCCTGCTCCCATGCTGAAGGCCCCTGAGGCTTTGTGGTGCTGATTCATGTGGCACTCACACACCTTGGCACCTCGCAGCAGTCCTCAACCAGAGACATAATCAAAGGACAATCACTATCTCTGCGTACATTGCACTTTTCCACAATCACAGTACAGTCTCACCCCAAAATGTCCAAATTTTAGCAAGGAAAAGACCCATGAATTAACATTATTTCTGCCAACATTTAAAAGGAATCAAAAACCAAATTAAAAACAAAGCAGGTTGATTTCATGTAATAGGGTTGGCGGCCTCATCAGGTGGTCTGCTGCTGAGACGAAGCTGAGATGAGAGCGAAGCAGGTGGAGGAGGCGTGAACGCCACAGCGACACAGCAGAGGGCGGAGAGGGCAAGACCTGAAAGAAAACAAGGCTGGAAAATGAATGAACAGAAAAGGGTCTGCTTTTAAAAATCAAATAATGGTAAATCAAAATTGTTCAAAGAATTAAAGCAGCAAAAAACCAAAGTGATCGTTGAGGAAGGAGAAAAATACCCATGATTATCCCAGTGTGAGGAGTCACCATGGTGGGTGGGGTTAGGTAGGAAGGCTGTGGGCTGTCCTGGGGAGGGAGGTAAGATGATTGGAATTTAGACTTAAGACTTGTCAGGACACCAGTCTCCTCACTGAACCTGGGGCTACCTTGGTCTCCATTCTTAGGGAGCGTGTCACTTTTATTCTGAACAAGTGGCCTAAAAATCAGGGGAAGCAATGCAGACCACCCTTCTAGAAGACTAAAACCTCTTTACAAAGAAAGAGGGCTTGGGCCCTGGAATTCTACCCCTTGTCCTGAGGCAGCTTTTCTTTAAGGGTTAGTGTATCCACCTCCAAAGGCCCCTTCTTCCAGGGAGGCAGAATTCTACTGGTAAAGCTCAGGAAGGCACACAGGTGCTTTGCTTCCTCCCACAGCATCTTCTTCAGAAAGAGGCTCATGCCAGGCCAGCCAACTGCACCCACAGAGAAGGCGGTGCTAAGAGGAGCAGGAGGAGGTGGGTTGTGAGAGCAGGAAGCTACCAAGAAGCTGCCAGATCACCATGCACAAGGGAAAGCTTTATGTGCACCGAGGCATCTAGCAGAACCAAATTGCTGCCATCAATGGGCCTTAGTGCTGCTGCTCCATCTGGCCTAAGAGCCCTTCCACTTGACTTGGAGGCCTCAAAGGCCCCAGGACAGCACTGAGGCCAAAGTGCATGCTGTAGACCCACAGAGCTCCAGGCAAAGGAGTCAGAGCAGAAAACAGGCAGCCATTTGTTATGACAGCTCCACACACATTCTAGATGTGAAGACCACAGGCTCAGGCAACCTCTGCCATAGCTCACTATGCAGAGTGGGTGGTGTGACAGCAAGCACACTACTCAGGTAGAACTGAGAACAAATGCTGTCTGCCTGCTGTAGTGGTGGGATTCTCAAGGCACTTCACACAGGACCATGGTTTCCTTACTCTCAGCAGCCAGACACAACTCTGGCTATCCAAGAAACATTTGCAAAAGACTCTGGAAATCTGAAGAGCCGACACTTGAAGCTCAGGGCCCACTGTGATCAGACAGGATTGCTTACTATCTCAGCTGGGGCTTGTCAAAAAACTGGCTCCATGATCAAGACAGCTGTGGCTGATTTCCTGCCACTCTGGAGACTGAGCTAACTACTAGGGACAGGATCCACTCTGATGCAGGGTGGTCTACCCGGGATCTGGTGAATGAGCCTTTCAGAGTAACAACAGCCAGTTAGAGATCATTAGGATCAGTGAGAAAGGGACAGTTATAGGGTTAGTAGGTATAGGCAAATCAAGGGTGCAAACACAAGCTAAACCCATCCCGCTGTGGCAAAGAGCATGCTAGAACCAAGCCCCAGAGATTGCATCTATCCCAGGCAGGTAAATAAGAATGAGTTTAAAATTAATCTCTCCAAGAAGCCAAGCGAAGCAGGTATGCAAAATGTTAATTCTGTGGTCTGGCACTAATACAGGACATGGCTGATCTCACTCTGGAGTTATGACACACAGCCTGCTCATCAGCCAGTGCAGTCTCCCCTGCCCGTTCTGTCAACCTCCTCAATCATTAGTGTAATTTTTAACTTACAAGTTGATTAAATGCTTTAAAGAATGGGACCTCTGGGCTGGGAAGGTGGCTCAGAGGTAGAGCGCTTGCCTTGCATGCCTGAGGCCCTGGGTTCGATTCCTTAGCACCACATAAGCAAAAAGAAAAAGCCAGAAGTGATGCTGTGGCTCAAGTGGTAGAGCGCTAGCCTTGAG